TTCTGTGGAGTCTCCTGAAGCTGTGATAAGGAACCTAACCACCTCGGCTATAGAATGTCTGCAGGTTCCCTGACTCCTGTTGCAGAAAAATAATGTTGGGGACATGTCAAAAGAGGCAAGAGGAGGATTTTATTAGCTAGAAATTAAAAGGCACACACTCAAAGGAATAGAATGTGGGTGCTCGAGAGAGGGGTACATTATTTCCTGGAATAAGGAACACACATGCTTCTCTTCATGGGTAGAAACCCTGGGATAAGTACCCTCCATATTATAGGTATAAGCCCAGTTGTTTTTTTTTTTTTTTTAAAGATGGAGAACTTAAGCATTCTTTGAATTCTCTCAACCTGTTGCTTTATCCTTGGATCAGCTTCCTGTTCTTTACTTCCTCAATTAAGCCAATTTACAGACTTGGAGTGTTCCTAAGGGATTCCTCAGAGATGGGTCTGGAAGGAAAGCAGCCTGCGTTTAGCCAAGGGAATGCTGAATTGAATTGCCTCGTGTGACTCTGGGTAGCAGAAGTTGCAGTCTTCTTCAAAGTACAATTGTTTAAATGTGATTTCCTTGTCCCCTTCTACCTACCTTTATTTCTTCTGTCCTGCTACGCAAGCACTTGATCAGTTATTCAGGGCCATGTGCAGAGATTCCAGCATTGCTTTAATGCTCTGCTGTTGAAAGCTTGGAATTCTGAATAATTTTTTAAAAGAGTCCCCTTCATTTAGTAATGAGCCATAATTTATACCGTTTACTTGTTAGAAACCTCAAAGAGTTGTTGCATCAAAATTTTGGAAACACTTCTATGCTTTGACTCACTCTTCCTCTAACTGAATCTAGCCCTTATAACTGTGCTGAAAATAACCGAGCACTTACAACTGCTTTTATTTATTTATTTATTTATTTATTTTTGGTGGAACTGGGGATTGAACTCAGACCCTTGCACTTACCAAGGAAGTGCTTATTCCACTGAGCCATCTCCCCAGCCCCTACAACTGCTTTTATATTTCAACAACTTGAGGGAAACTTCCCTGGTGGAAAAGATCCTTCATCTTCCATGCCTCAGTCTTACATGGTTTCCTTTCTTTAAAGCCTCTACTCTCTTCTCCACTTTCCTTTCCCCTGAAGGTGTTTTTCCCCCCAAACAGAGGATTGAACCCAGAGTCTTATACATGATAGATGAACATTTGACCACTGAGCTATAACCCTAGCTATAATATTTTATTTTATATTTTATGCTGAGACAGTATCTCAATGGGCTGTACTTAAACTTGAGATCCTCCTGCTGCAGCCTCTGGAGTAGCAAGAATTACAGGTATGTACCACTGTGCCCTGTTGCAGGGCCTCACCTCAGAATTTAGATATTTGGTTCTATTATATTTGGAGCAAAGGAATGGGGAGGTATTGTTTCAATTTTTATGGGATGCAAAAACACTGGATGTGGTGTGGGAGGCACTAAAAAGTCTTAAACATGGCTGCTTAGGACTTTAAAATCTACCAGCTCAACAGCAAATGCCAAGGGATAATACAGAGGGAGGCCGGGGAACCTGCCTTGAGGCTCCATCTCTCATGCCCCACACCCCCCTGGTGACACAATGCTGTCCATCACCCTCCTAAACATCTGTCCTGCTTGGCCACTTCTCCCTTTAGTCTCTGGATCTGCAGAGCTCTAATCCAGAGCACAGCCATACCTTACAGATGGCACCCTCTCAGGACCCTCTCTGCAAATTCACTTTCTGTTGTTGGATTATTAAACATCCACTTTGTAGAAATATGCTTGACATGACATCCAACTCACTCACTTAAAAGGTACAATTCATAGACACTTCTCAAAAGAAGTACAAATGGTCAATGAGTACCAAGGAATATATGAAAAAATATTCAACAGCTTCTGCCATCAGGGAAATGCAAATCAGATGTACAACGAGATTCCATCTCACCCAAGTCAGCATGGCTAAACTCAAGAATACACACAACAATAAATGTCAAGGATGTGGAGAAAAGGGAGCACACTCAGAGTGTGGGAGGGGAAGTAAGTTAGTACAGGCACTATAGAAATCAGTATGGAAGTTCCTCACAAAACTGAAAGGAGAGCCACCATCTAACTAGCTATACCATTCCTTGGTGTATTTCTAAAAGATAAGTATACTATGGAAATACCTGCATACCCATGTTTATTGTAGCTGAATTCACAATAGCCAAGCTAGATGTTCATCAGCAGATGAATGGATAAAAAAATGTGTTATCTATACACTGTGACAATTAAGCTTCAGTGTCAGTTCCACTACATTAAGGGACTCTGGGAGAGAAGACTGGATCATTCACTGAGCAATGGCGTTTGCAGGTGAGGCCCAGGTGGAAGGGGGTCGTGGGGGAACCTTGAGACAGTTCACTTCTCCACTGTGCTCCACCTGAGTGCTATGCTTCCTTGCCATTCTGAAGCTAGCAGCATTGGTTCCCTACCCCCTGCTCTCATAGATGTTCCTGCCTTGAGCCAGTCAACCAGGGACGAAAAACTCTGAAACTGTGAGCGAAAATAAGCTTTCTTACTTGTGTATGTAGGGTGTTTAGTCTTAGCAATGAAAAGCTGGCTACTCCATCATAATGCAATCTTATTGAGCTATAAAGAAGAACAAAATCATGTCATTTTCACTAAAAGCAGTGTATTACATGTTAAGTAGAATTAGTCAGACTCAGAAAATCAAATATCACATTCTTTATCTCATATGAAGAAACTAGGGGGACAAAGACAGATGTGAGGGCAGAAGGAAGACTATTAGAGATGAGGATGGGGTCAAGGGCAGGGGGAGGAGAAGGGAGGTAATGGGAGTGTGGTACGTATGTATGAATATGCCAAAATGAAATTCAGAAATATAACTAATGTGCACTGATAAATGATAAATAATAAAATGTACAACTCAGTGCTTTTGGTTTACTGTATTTTTTAATGTTGTGATAAATTTATATGACATAAAATTTGCCATTTGAGCTATTTTTCTTGTGCAATTCAGTGGTTATAATTATGTTCTAAATGTGCAACTATCATTACTATTTCCAAAACCCTTTTGTCATCCCAAAATAAATTGGTTGTTTTTGTTTGTTTGGGTTTTTGAGACAGGGTCTTGCTATGCAGTTCAGGATGGTCTTGAGCTCACATATGTAACCCCGGCTGGTCTAGAGCTCATGGCTATCTTCCTGCCTTTGTCTCCTGAGTGCCGGGATTATAGGTATGTGCCATCATACCTGGCTTGAAATCAGTATTTATTAAGCAATAACGCTCCATCCCACTCCCTCCAGCTCTTCTGTATGTAGTCTTCACTCCACATTTTTCTAGCCTATTTCTTATAAGTAAACTCCTACGCTATTTGTCCTTTCGTGTCTGATGTATGTCTTTTAGCACAATGCCTTCAAGGTTCTTTCTTGTCGCAGCATGTACCAAAATTTCCTCTTTTGCTGAATAATCTTCCACAGTTTGCTTTTCCACTTATCTACTGATGGGCACCTGGGTTGATTTCACCTTTTGGCTACTGGGAATAATGTTGCAATAAATATCAATGCGCATGTATCAATGTGAGTTCCTGCTTTTGATTCTTGGGTAGGGGGTATGGAATCCCTGGACTCACTTTTGATGTCTCCAGTCCACTTGTTCTCCACACCCACAGAAATCCTTCCCTCCTTTTCTCCTTATTCTCTCTCTCTCACTCTCTCTCTCTCTCTCCCCCCCCCCCTTTCCTTCTGCTAGGAATCAAACCCTGGGCATTGATCCTCTGCTACACTTTGCCAACACTGGATAAAAATACCGACTAAGCAAGAATTCTGGATAAAGCTGAAAGTGTCCCATGAGACCACCAATTTCCTGAGCTTTGATCTGCTAGACTGTCCAAGTCACTTTGCCCTGCCCTCACCCCAGACTTCTCTCCATCCTTCTACAGGGTCATGTTCACATTGGATTTCTACATACTCGTCCCTTTTGCTAAAATATTCATCTTCCACAAACACCCAGCTTTTGATATTCTTGGGAAACTCTTTCTATCTTTCTCATCCATTTCGCTGTACAATTTTCCCTAACATCCACCTTCCTCCGTGTACCCTCTGTTACCTGTAGCCTCCTATTTCTTGACTCTCTGTTCACCAGGCATTAAGTTTCAATATCTGTCTTCCCCCGGTAACAATGCTTAATATTGGCTGAACACTTACTATGTTTCATGCTATTATTAATGCACGTCACCATATCAGTTTAACTCCTTACAGGAAGTCTGAGGACTTAACAGACAAAGATGTCTGGGGTGCAATCACAGTCACAGTGACTATGCTGGCCTGACTAGAAGCTCCTGCAGACCCACACACCTGTGCTGCTGGCCCCTAGCTTTCAGGCAGTCTGTTTCCCTCCCTGCGTGGCATCCCCAAACCCCTAGCACAGATCCCAGCTTACAACGATCTCCAGTTCATATCCAAACTGGATGAGTGATTGAGTGGGCCCAATAGAAAGACAAGAGGGACCTGAGTTTCGAACAAACTGTATTTACCTAGTGACTCCTGCGTGTTGAGCGTGCTAACCATCTCCTGCCCCTCCCCGCCCCCGTTTCTCCTGCCTAAAAAGTGCGCATTAACAGCTATGCCCCAGGGATACAGAGATGGGTGGGTTTTACTTTAATGTGAATTTAAAAAATCATTGTTCCCGAAAGATTGGGTCACCGGTCCTCAGACAGGAAAGGGTCTGAGAAGCCCAAGGTGGCAGACCCAGCACCCGTGGGAGTACTGTAAGGAACCCTAGGTCACCCGCCCCGCCCCGCCCCGGCCTTTGTGACCACCTCTGAGGACAGCTCCAGGGCTGGGGAGGGCCTCCCCGCCCCCTCTGGGGCGTCTGCAGCGCTGGAGCCGGCCTGGCTCCGCCCTTGGGCCTCATTATCTACGTTTCCGCGGCAGGAGCGCCTTGAACTTGGCAGGCCCTCCCCGCGGTGACCGGGAACACTTTGTACCTCCCCGCCGCCGGCACCGCCCTGCTCGGGCGGGCCCGCGAGGTCCACTGGCTGGGGTCGCAGTGCCTAAGGCATTCGCGCAATTGGCACAGCCCCGGGGCTCCCACGCACTTTTCCTGGGTTCTGGACCTCTTAGCCTTCGGGCTAGGAGTCCAATCATGGGTTTCCCCCGCGCGTAATCAAGAGGTTCATAAAGATGCTGTGGCCCATTTAAAAACAAAGCCCAATTATTAGCGCTCAGGGACTGTTTCTGCCGGCCCAGGCGCAGGTCCGCCAGCGCTGAGGACAAGCAGCGCTCTGAGGAGGCTTGGTCGGAACCGTTCACAGCCCTCAAAACTGTTTGGAGATCACCCCGCCCCGCCCACGCCCAACGCGTTCCTTCCCGGGTTGCAGCGCTCAGGCAACCCGCTGAGCTCCGTCCGTCACCTAATGGGTGAAATGGGGTCTGCTGCGCGCATATTACCGAGGCCGCAGCGCTGTCCTCCAGCGCTAGTCTCCTGAACCCCGCCTTCCCGCCATGCTCGCTCGCTCGGCCCCGGAGCGCCCCGGCTGCACGCGCGGCACTGGCTCTAAAGTGCGTCACGGGCATCAGCGAGCGGATCTGCCCGGCAGGGTGAGACTGGCACGGGGCCAGCACAGGCCGGGCCACAGGAGTGCAGGGCCGTCTCCCAGGCTGGGACCGGGGCGTGGAAGGCGCTCAAGTTGCGCAGGCGGGGAGCGCTGCTGGGGGCGCCCTCCCGGCCAGGCCGCGCGCCGGCGACAGCCCTTTTCAGCTGCCCAGAGCGCGAAGGCTACGTTTTCTCCACCGCCCCCTTCGCTTCTTTCTGCGCAGCGACCGCGGAGATTTCCTCCCCGGGAAACTACGCGGATTCTTCCCGGGTCTCCTCGCCCCGCCCCAGGTCTCCGACCCCTCCCTTTTGTTGGGGATCCTGGGCTGGGTAGAGTCGGGAAGGAGGCTCTAGTAGCTTGGGCCAAGAGGCGGCCGGGGTCTCCGCTGGCCAGGAACTCTGCCCGCCATGTGACACGGTCCTCCCCGCCGCGATCCCCCACCAGTCCCACCGCGCCGCTCACCATGCTCCTGCCCGGACACGCGCGCGCGGCGCTCGCGTCCCAGCCCGCGCAGCATCCCGGCCTCCGCAGGCAAGTGGAGCCGCCGGGACAACTCCTGCGCCTCTTCTATTGCACTGTGCTGGTCTGCTCTAAAGAGATCGCTGCACTCACCGACTTCTCTGGTAAGAGCGCCGCTGGAGAGCCCTAAGGTGGAGGGCAGCTCCCAAGGGGGGACTGAAGTTGAAGCGTGCGCCTGGCAGGTTTTCTGGTCGGTGCGGAGACGTTGGCTTATAGGTGGTTGTGTGGGGGGCGGCAGCAGTGAGTCCTCCTCGAGAAAAAGGGTATATAATGCATTTAGAGTTTCTCTTCCTGTACTAACCTGGTCAGTTTCCCTGCGTCAGCCACCCGGTCTGTCTGAAGCCCACAATGCCCCTAAGCCAGCTGGGTGCTGCATCCCACACTGGAAGATACACGTGTTTGTGGTCGGGAAGCTGAACTTAGTTTGCCACCCACGTTGTTAGGGTGCGTCCCAGTCAGCTTGCTAGGTGCTCAAGTGAAGAGACTGGCGCAGGTTACATGGCTGTCCGAGAAGGAAAGGGCAGGGCGAGAAGTGGGGAGAGATGGGCAGATGCCCATAAGAAGACAGGGAAAGTACTCAGGGGTCTGACTTTGTTGCCAAATAATGCCAGGCTCCCTCCCTGTGTCTGATCACAGTTCTCTCTCTCTCTCTCTCTCTCTCTCTCTCTCTCTCTCTCTC